ATATATATATATATAAATGTTTTTTCCCATTATATATAACAAAATTAATCCACTAACTGCAAGTAAAAGGAAACTCTTAAATCTACAAAGTAATTATAAAGAATACTTTCATTTGCTCTGTCTTGACTTCAGAAAATCCTAGAAGGAAACTAAAACGTAATTTTTTATGTTAGGTATGAAACTGTTTATTGGCTCCATTTTCTGCAACAGAATCTACAAGGAGGAAGAATTTAAAAATTTGAAGTTTTCAAAAATAGTGTGATACTCTTTAAAATTAGTGCTGCCTTTTCTTTAAAATATGTAGGGTAAAGAAAACTTAAGTTAGATGTGGAAATCTGTAGAGTACCTCCGACTTTTTCTTCACCAGAATCTAGAAATAAAGGATTATGTGCTGAAGTTTTTAAGCCCTAAAATATGAAGTTGATTGTACATAAATTATAGTAGCTGTTTTGGTCGTTACAATATCTGCAGATGATAATAAGCACTCAAATTGTCTTTCAGCCATAATTTAGTATTAGAGATTTTGAACAATGCAACTTTTGGGCTAATAACTTCACCTCTTGCAGAGAAATCTTAATGTGAAAATTAATCCCCCCCACCACCATTTGTGTAAAAGATTGTAATGAAAGTCAATTGTGTTTTGCAAAGTAATTTACCTAAAGGAGACCTGTTTTCAGTACTAAACTAGTAACTATATCCTTGGAAAATGTCCAAAGGTTATGTTTACGTTAGTCACAGTTACATGAGGTATTGGAAGGTATGATGTTTGCAAGAAATAAAAGTGTGTTGTGGATGCAGTCGCAATGGGGTTCCTGTTGAAGGTAAAGTAGTCAGAAAGATAGATCATACAAAAACACTAGAATCCAATCAAAAGAGGACAAGAAAACTGAAGCAAAAGAAATGATAAGAATATTAAAAAAATTTTTCTTCTCCTTGTAACCGTTTTCATTGTTTTAGATCATTCAGTTATTGACAGACTCAGATATGATTTATCAATGAAAGAATGTTGTTGTTTCTACTAAGTCTGCAGTGTGTCCTACATTCTTACAGTGTAAATCAAGATTGAATGGGAATGACCCTGGGCAAAAGTAGAGTCACTTTGAGAAGACTTCATTAATATCTTTCAAAGCAACAGATTGAACCCTAAGTTTATGGAAAGTTTATATGAGAAATTGGTCTAACAGAATTTCTCTTTTTCAAAGCTACCACCAAAACACAGTAATTTCTGTACAATCAAGTCATGTTTTTATATATACATACATACATACACATGCGTACATACATCCACATATATATTCTGTCATACTTAACTAATTTAAACTCACTTGGTCTTCTTCTTCTTTCCTTTTGTCTTTTATTTTGCTGATCACACTGACCACCTGAGTATCCCCTTTTACATCGGCACTGGTTGACTCCAATGCACCTTCCCCCATTCAAACAAGGTATTGTACATTTACCTGCAAAGAGATAATGCAATGCTTTTCTGAAGTTTAGCATATTTCAGTCTAATTATTTCAAACGTTCTTGCAGAATCAAAAATATGCATATAATAATTCTTGGAAGTGATATAAAAAAAGTTTCACGTTTTCGTGCATATACTTATGGATAGAAACAACTTGTATCTTGAACACCTTATAAGTTTTGTTTAAAAGAAATCAAGCATTTTCCTTTTAAGTAACATTTTTTTTAAGAACAAGAATTATTTTCACTTACTTATTGACTTTCATGCATAACTTAAGAGAGTCTATTCTCCATGAGTGTATTGATTTGATTGAACAATATATAACAGTAGTTAAAAGGTGTTTTAATATTGTTGGAGGCAGTCACATGCATATCACTAACAAAAATAACAGAGTTACATGCACACTTTAAGAAAAGAAGGTTAAAAATCTATTTAAAAGTAATTATTTGTATTTGCATTACTGGTTGTTGTTTTTTATGGCTTTTAAGAGTCTTGTACTGTGACATTACTTTTATCAGATTACATAAACTACTCATATTATATAACAGCCAAATTTTTAGTCTTTGAATAAAAAGAATCAACCAAACTATCTATCTACAATTTCTTAATCAGAATAAAATTGTCCTTTATATTATGTTTAACCTGTATATTTACAAGCAGGGTTAGACTACAACAGCAAATATAAAATAGTAAAATTCAAACTTTCCAAAACTACTATTCAAGACAAATAAAAGTGCAGACAGGAGCAAGAAAAATGGCATTTCCCCCACAATAGTGGGTAAATGGCATCTATACTAACAAAAAACATCCCCTCTAGAGTCGAAGAATGGTTACAAGAGGTGACCTTGCTATTTTAGCTAAAAATAACCAATATGCTGTTGGTTTTTAATAGCCAATTCATCATCCAGCACAACTTCATTATGGAAAACTAACCATACCCTTGTGATAATGTCAGAAACTTTTGGATACAGTAAAACATTCTTATGCATGAATGAGTTAGTATCTTGTTTGGCTAATCTGATGATATATACATGCAGACAGTGCTTTTCACATTTCAGACATGTAGTTTTCTAAAAAAACTGACAGTTTACACCTCTTGTACTCACTATATTCACAGCGGGGTCCATAGTAACCTTTTCTACATTTGCACTTGTCTTTCTGGATACATTTGCCTCCGTTAAGGCACTTTTCACGACATATACCTTTGGAATAAATTAAAAAAAAAGTAATATGGATGTGATCTCACCAGTACAGTAATTCTTAATAACACAATATAACATTGTATAAATCTTTGAATGGCACTTTTCCATACACTGGTCAGTATTATCATTATCAATACCACAGGTACTGTTGAGTCACCTGGTACATTTTTCAGCATCACATTCACTACAATATTCAAACACAATAGTTGTTTATGATGTTCTAATAAACTAAATTTAAATAATCCATATGATGCAAACGTATCTGATTGGTGTGGTTCACTGAGGCTGTAGGGTAAACTGTTTTATATTGCAACCATGTAATTACTATGTAATGTACTAATCTATTTTGATCAGAGTTATGGTTACTTGACACATGATAGAGAATAAGATGCACAATTTGCTGCTGATTTAGTTGCTTTGAGTTCTAGATGCACTGATAGTCCAGTGTGTTGGATAGCCTATTGTTATGAACAGCAACACTCTGCCAGTGAGTATTCATCCCACAACATTATTTGCTTAATTATTTATTGTTCTTTGGTATTTAATGTCTTGTACATCCTTTAGATATCTTCCTTCAAAGAAAATGTAACTATTTGGTTTTACCAACATATTCTCAATTGTTACTGAGTCAGTCATGGCTGATGCTGACAACAAGTGTAAAGTTGGTTTGTCACAGTGGGTATGTTTGAAGATCTCACCTTAAAATGAAACACCTATTGAGTACCTATACTATAATACATTGTTTTGACTCTTATTTTGACGGTCTTTACCTCAGTAAGTAAAAGTTTTTAGTAAATATCTCCCTGGTGATATTACCTAACAGTGAAGCCAATATAGTACAAAGTTGATACTTGCGTCAGTGTTCAATTCTTCAGATGAATTTCTTAAGCTATATTACTTGATAGCAAAGTTATTAAAAGACTGTTGTAGTCTACATTATTAACACAGATGTTTCTTGAAATTTGTATTTTACTTGTTTAGCCAGAAGGAAGTTTAACAAAATATGATGTCTGGAACTTTCTTAGAAGTTTAGGAAATAGTTTGTGCCAGATATAAAATGAAGTGAGGCTAGAGTGAGTTAATCAGTCTTTTAGAGTGAGTTATTGAGTAAGCAGCTTTGTTCATCAGTTCTTCTGTTTTTGTCAGTCAGAAGGAACTTTAACATAATGTAATGTATGTAGCTTTAGTGTCTGGAGCTTTCACTAAAACTTAGGAAACAACTCGAGTCAGATGGAAGATGTGAGTTAGGCCACAGTGAGTTAATGAGTTTGTTAGAGTGAGTTATTATTATTACTGTCAGCCATTTAGTTAGTTACTGTGAATATTGAGTTTGTGTTTCCATGAAATTAGTACATAAGTGAAATTGTGATTAGATATAGTCTATTTGTAAAACTAAGCTTATTGATGAGAGTTAGTTATCAAGGAATTCAAAGTTGAAGAAGTAAAATGTTTTTGTTATCATTTAGTGGAGAGGAATTTTACCAACTAGCCCAAAAGGACCTGGTAAACAACAGTTACCATCACAGCACTGGAGTTAGGAGTGGAAGTATTTTTATAAAATATAATCCACACTCAACTTCAACATGAAAATACATGATCGAAGCAAGATTGAAAACTTAATGAAATGTTGAAACAGTGGAAAAATAGATTAAAAAGAAAGAGACTGAAATACAAAAGAAGATCAAGAAGAACAAGAAAAAAAAAAGAATAAAGAATTACATGATCAAGACAAAAAGAATGGTAAATCAAGATCATAGAGAAATCCAGAAAATTAATAGTAAGAAACAGGAATTTAATAGAGGAGTTACAAGAATAAGACATTAATTTTATTGAAGAATTATGAACAAAAATCAATCTGAAGAAGACAAGATTGAGGAAGCCATATAAAATGTACAGAGGGATTATAACAAATAAATTGAAGACTTACGCACAGAAGGATTATAACACCATGATCATTGAAGAAGCCATTTAGAATGTACAAAAGGACACCAACTATACAATAAAACATCTAGAAACTAAATTAGCAAGTACAAGGATCAAATCAGCCAAACCTCTATGTGCCCACTCAAGAATTTCAATCTAAACCTCCATTAACTATGCAATATGGAATGGAAGAATCCATTTGGTCTTCACCTGTTTTCACTATTTTTGCACTGCCTATAATTTCAGGACCTTCCTGGACTACATCAGCTATACCACTACCTCAACAATTTACAGAGTATAACAGGTCAGTCTAATAACACTGCCCAATTGCAACTCAGACTAGCCAGAAAGGTACCATGAGAGGAAAATCAGGTACAGTTTGAAATAATTTCCAAATTAAAAGGATGGAATAGTGAACAGCAAAATTTCATTGAGCTGCACTGCTCATTTAAAGGGACTTGTTTTAAGAATGTTCCAACAGAGAATTGTAACAATTACCAGTCATTAGGAGGCTGCTGTATCAAATGAATTTGTAGTGTTGCATCAGAAGGAAGTTTTTAAAGCAAAGTTTAGAAGCACAGAAATAAGGAAGGATAAATCCTTAGCCAAACTCATTGAAATTGTTTAAAAGCCTAATTATTTTACACAAATGCTCCATGTGAAATGATAGATTTTTGACACACAACCAATTCATAAATGCCTTAATGGATGAGGATATATGAATTACACTAAATCAAAGTAGCTTTAAATCTTTAAGGGAAATTGTTCAGTTGGCTATGGAACTAGAATCAGATAAATAGCTGAAAGTAGAATCTAGGGATTATGGGATTTTAAGTCAAATAGCATAGAAATATCAGCTCTCCCTCTTGGTGGTCTAGAAGAGCTCAAAGGATTAATTAGACAACTGTTAAGTCAGAATAAAAGAAGTAAATCACAAAACAATACATTTTTTCAAGTGAAACTTTAAAAGTGCATATTTCCAGAAACTGCAGACAAATGTTTTAAGGAAATAAAAACTACTCCAAAAGGATGATAAGAAAATAAAACTTCTATAAGCATGGAAAACATGGACATTACAACCAAGACTGTAAAGAATCAAGAAGTAATAATAAACAAGGACATTATATCCTAAGGATGAGCCCCAGAGCCCAAACAAATTGAAGGGGCAACAGGGAGCTAACCAAACACTGGATAAAAAAGATATTAACTGGACTTAAAAAGGAAAGTTCAATTAAGGAGTTTGTATTAATTATTCAAAGAAACCAATCCATGAGGTAATGGATTCACAGATAGAAAGCCTTGTAACATGTTGACTAAAACTGGTTTATGGCTAATATTGTTCGATCTGATCTGATAATGGCAACTTGGAAACTGCCTCCAGAGGTGAAGCAAGAAGATGGATGGATGCAAGCAGCAAACCATCATACAGTTCTAACACAAAGAAAATTAGAAGTCACCCAGAATAATCATCTTCTGTTCCTAATCAAAAAGCAGAAACTCTAGCAAAGAAGCCTGTCAAGGAATTTTTTAAGATTCAAGGTGCTTATGGAACTTCATCCAGATCAAGGATCGAACTTTGAATCAGCTTTGTGGAAATATGTCAAACCCTTGGAATGAAAGAGATCAGGATAATAGTCTTTTCTCCCTCTTGTAAAGGAATGGTAGAGAGATATAATCGTATGTTTTTTAAATCAATTAACCATTTATGTGGAAGATTGTCAGAAAACATGGAATCAAGATCTTCTACACTTACTCATGAGTTAAATAGCAACAATACATGAAACTTCAGGAAACACATCAGCATCACTGATCTTTGGAGGATAACTGAAAGTTTCACTGGACCTTCTGTACTCTCACCCTGAGGACTGTCACTCATTGAAGTCTTACACAGAGTATGCAGAGATTAAGAACACCACTGATGCCATAAATAACTTTACCCAAGACAGACATAAATCAACTAGTGATAAGGTGAAAAGATGCTATGATGTAAATGCTGATAAGATTGGATTACATCATGGTAACATGGTAAGACAGTGCAGCTTAAATAACATGACAGGACTATCTCCAAAGTTAATTAGATGTTATAAACGGTCCTATATGGTATTCAAAAGAATCTATATGTAGTTTATAGAACTAAGAAAGACAAGTGGTCCAAGTCAAAGATCATCCACCATGATCATCTTTTGAAGTACATCTGCAAGGGAATGGCCAACTGGTTAGATTCAAAGACTCCATCAGAGGTAAATCAACCTGCTTAACAGTCCAAGGATCCTTCTATGATCAATTCTAATATATCATCAAGAACAGAACCAGTAGCAACTTCCCACAATCATCTACCTGAAGATAATACTCCCAATGAGAAGATGCCAAGTGATGATAAAGGACAAGAGGGGATCCCACATTTGTACCATAAGTCATGAAAAAAAAACACCAAAAATATTAAGTGACTGGACAGATCAGGAACAATTTAAACAAATTAGTAAAAAAAAAAAAAGTGTTTTTCCAACCAAAATTGTGTCTGTACATTACGTTTTACATATTTCAGTAATAATTTAATGATTGGAATATTTAGATTTATGAATGCTAATGTTCTTAATTGTCAAGAATTAACGCATTGCTAATTATGGAATTTGTGTGTAATGTGCCATTGTTTTCTTTTTCAATAAGATTAATCCGAGGAAGGGGCAATTTTGTTAATCTTTATATTTCTTGAAATCTGTATTGTTGTTTGGCCAGAATAAAGTTTAACGTAACATGCTGAGCATGGCCTTACTTTCTGTAAAAGTTTAAGCAATAATTTGAGCCATATATAAAAAGTGAATTACTAAGTTTGTTACAAGGAGCTACATAGTTTGCCAGTTTGTTAAAGACAATTAATGAGTAACTAGCATAATGTGTAGTGACAAGCTGAATTATAGTATCATGACTACTACATGATTTAGTCAGTTCCTCACTTACTGTCAGTCAATTAGTTTGTTCTTTTTTTTTGTGAATACTGAATTTGTGTTTTTAAGGAAAAATATAGATATAAAGTTTGTAAGTACGTAGAATATCCATTAGATATAGTCTATTTGTGAAGTTAGGCCAATTGGAGAACATTGGTTACACTGGCTGTGGAATTTGAAGTTAAAGAAATAAAACATATTTTTGCAACTGTTAAGTGGGCTCTTTTCCATTGTTCTTTTTACCAAATAATCCAAAAGAACCCAGTCGTGAATAAAAACCATCATATGGGCATAGTGACAAAATTGTGGTAGAGGGGCTAAATTCTAAACACTTTAGATACATGTAATTAAGATCATGTATATTATACTTTAGATAAATGTAAACTAGTGTAACTCTCCAACCCTTAAAAATTACATGTATGGGTTATTTTATGAGACTAATCTCAAATTTCAGTACAAAAACTGCAACAGGTCTCAGATTTCAATTCTTCACAAGAACATCTTTAATAATATTACTTTTTTTGAGTTAGGTCCAGATTGAAGGTGATAGTGAAACATTATTCTAAGATAGTTGATAATTAACTTGGAATATGTGATTATAATATTACATGGTAAGGTTATTTCTGGTAGTTTCTATTGATTGATAAACTGCTATACAAACACTCCTTTAGTGGTATCCCCTTATAATGTGGTTCTTAACTGCTTACAAAATATCTTTTTAAGGCCTCTATAAATTACTTTATCACAGAAAATACTCACCTCCCTCACAGTGAGGTCCTTGATAACCATCAGCACACTTACATACTCCGGGAGAAATACATGTTCCACCATTCATACACTGGGGGTAGCACAAAGCTGAAATAAGATGAAATCTGCACACTTCAGTGGTATGAAGTAGATTAACCAAGCACAAAAGAGTGACGCAAAGCCTCACATGTAAAATGTGTTACTGATTATATAACAATGAATCAGTGTACACAATGCTAACATACTGTTACAACATGTGATGGAAATTGCATCTTTAATCTTATCAGCTGTTTTTAGCTTTCTTGAAGTAATATATTTGATTTTTGCTTTTAACTCTGAAATACCAAAATACTTTATTTCTAGGAAATAAGAAAAATACACAATGTGCCACTTAAGCTTACTTTATATCTTTACTAAAGATTTGCATGGAAGAAATTGTATTAATTTTCTGAAATTGGTTCAGCAAAATGAAAGGAACAAATAATGTACATCTTAATGCATTTTTTCTTACATATTTGTCAGAAATTAAAATCGAGTTCATTAGATATTTTAACATTACTATGCTTTTTTCTTGTAATATATGTCTAGTCTAAATGCTCTTTGTACAATGGTTTACCTTTACAAGTTATTGTACTTGAGGATGTTGTTGCCTTGGTGACTGATTTGTTATTGGTTTTTATTACAAGTTTCTCTATTTAAGCAAATAATGAATTAAGTTTCCGCCTATATAATAGTCAGTTTATACTAAATATTAAATCTGCATCTTCTTGAAGGAATTGTTAAAGTTTGAGCAGCAACTTGTTTTTGTAAATGTATTAATGATTTGCACAGGTGAGTATTAAGCTGATTTTGTAAAAGAGCTCATTTAAATACTTACAATAGTACTATATTGTATACGAAATTCGTGATATTACACATTTTAAGACAAAACCTGTGTGTAAAATAACAATGTAATGTATGGAAAAAATTTAACCTAACATTTTGACCTAAAAACTTTTGAATTGTTATCAAAAACACTCATTTGAAACTTAATGGGAAAAACATAGACCACGTTGTATTTTTAACTCTTTTTTTTTTCTTCTTTACACTATACCATTTTAACCTAAATTATTTTTAGGTGGCCCCCTCAGCGGCATGTCTGCGGACTTACAACACTAGAAACCAGTTTCGATACCCGTGTTGGACAGAGCACAGATAGCCCATTAACTTCAAACAAACAAAGCAAAACGGCGTGGAAACTATTGAGTTGGTACTTTTCAATCCATATCTATATATTATATATGTATATAGTGATTTAGACTCACCTGTACGACAGTAGTTACCCATGTACCCTTTTTGGCACTCGCAGATTTTCTGCTGATTACACCATCCTCTATTGGCACACTTCTTATCACATTCTGGATCAGGACCTTGAGTAACTAACAATCACATTTTCTGTTTCATTTCAAATAATCTGATTTTAAAAACTTTAATATTTATGAATATTATTATACACTATTCTAATTCTTGAATATCACTAAAAGACTAGATAAAGAATGTAGTGTTTAAAAAAATGTAATAGGTCCAATACTAATGTCTTATACTTATAGCAAGTATAATTGTAAATCAGCCTACGCCTCCCCCCCCCCGTTTTGAAAATAAAATCAAAATAATTGCAAAAATTAGATCTTTGAGGAGGAAAGAATGTTGTGAAATTTCACATTAAATTAAAAAATAAATAAAAAAGCAATAACAACAACATCTAGCAAACATTGTATCAAATCTAAATAACCCATTTAACCCCTACCAGGGAAGTCCCGAAAATTCCTCGTTCACGTTCAGATGATTATGATAACAATTCATAAGAGCATTTGGGATGACCATATACTTTGATATTTTCTTATGTACCTTTGGGTTAATAATAATTTGTGTAGATATCAGAAAAAAAAAAATGAATACACATTAAAAACGGAAGTATTGATTTTTTGTTATGTTATTATTAAGTGGAACAGTGAAACTAGTTCTTCACTTTTTCATGAAAAATAGTATTATTCTTATCCTTTAGGGCCCGGCATGGCCAGGTGATTAGGGCGCTCGACTCGCAATCTGAGGGTCGCGGTTCGAATCCCAGTCACACCAAACATGCTCAACCTTTCAGCCGTGGGGGCGTTATCATGTTACGCCCAATCCCACTGTTACGACAGCGGAAGTCACGCGACGCTGGGAGCATGCGCGCTGGAGTTTCCAGAAGGATCATGACTTATCGAGGAACCTCACTAATGTCCGAGTGTTTGCCAGGCGCCCTCTTTTTTAGTATATAAGCCCGGCAAATAAAGCCAGCGATAGATAGATATGCAGATAGATTGAAGATAGAGATAACTGAGTCAAGCGAACAGTAGGCACCGTAAGGAAAGTGAGTGAATAACTGTGATTTATAGCGTGTGTTATAAAGGTTAAGTTTAAAGTGAATGTGG